CACCACGAGGCAAGCCGATGTACGGCTGATTTCAGCCGTACCAGCCTGAAGTGAATAGCCGAACAGTGTTCGGCTCACTTCACTTCTGATCGGTCATTCACTTGGCTGCCCTCGGCAGCTTTGTGAATAGACCCCTAAGTGAATAACTGAGCTGAGGTGAAGTGAGCCGAACGCTGTGTATCAGCTAAAATCAGCCGTACATCGGCTGGCTTCGGTTGCTGAGCATGTTCGGCTGAGCCAAAGTGAAGGAGCCATTCGACTCAGCCGATCCAACATTTGGATCGGCTGAGTTGAACCTCCGGCAGTTCACTCTTTGCCGCAGGCGGAACACTAGTGAGTGAATAGCCTAATCCTGCCGTTCGGCATACGGCTCAGTAATTCTGCTTGCTACCTCCAAGGTAGCGAGCAGAATTTTAAAAAATGTAAACAAAGGAAAATGAAAAAAAGAAACAGGGTCCCCCTCCCGATCTATACCAGACCCTTTAGGTCTGGTAGGAATGTTAGGAGGGATCCCAAGTAAAAAAAAACTGCTTAGGTTTCCCCCCAAAGTTATACCAGGCCCAATGGGTCTGGTAGGAATTTTAAGGGGAGAAATTAGGAGAGAAAAACGTTGGGTCCCCCCTAAAATTCTTAACCAGACCCTTAATCCAAGCAGAGGCCTGGCAAGGCAGAAAAGGGGGGGACAAAGGAGCACCCCCCTCCCTGCCATACTAGGCCACATGCTCTCAGCACTGCCCCCCTGGAAAAGCACCTTGTCCCCGTGCCGATGGGGACAAGGGCCTCTTCCCCATAAGCCCTGGGGCGTTGGTTGTGGGGGGGTCTGCAGGCAGGGGGGCTTATTTGCATTGGGGTACCCCCTTTAATAAAGGGGCACCCAGATGCCCCCCTTGTGAATGAGTGAAGGGTACGTGTACCCCTACTCATTCAGTAAAGGGTTAAAGTAAAAATGTAAATAAAGAGCCCACACTTTTGTAAAAATTCCTTTCATTGAAATAAAAACGCAACAAAAATTCCTTTATTAAAAAAATTCCCAAAAATTGATCCAATGATGTAATCCAGGGTCAATCACGGTGTACAGTGTTTGTTCTGCACCTGTCACTGTCTTCCTGCAGGTCCCAGACAAATCACCCAGCTGTTGTCATTTAGTGACAGCCCAGTGTCCTCAAGAACGCTGGGCTGTCACTGAATGACAACAACTGGGCGGAGCCAGCCATGACATCACGGCTGGCTCCACCCAGTTGTTTACATTTGCAGAGAGAATGGTCTGCAGATCGTTTGCTCGGATTCGGGGGTGACTTCAGCTCAGCCGAGCTGAAGCATATACGTTAGGCTCGGTCGAGCCACCTGGCTGCCTTCAGCTGCTGTACAGGCTATTGTGAATAGCCCGTACAGCAGCCCTTCTGTTCGGCTGAACCAGAGGGCTCTGGTGGCCGAAGTGAGCCGAAGGATTAGCTGATGCTTCGGCTTAATCCTTCGGCTCTTTTGTGAATAACGCTCTTAATCTTGTAACAAATCTCATGTAACAAAACCCATGGTATATTTACATAGTGATTCCTACCCTTAATAATAGTTTTCATTTAGAAGACCAATCTCTGCTGATCTCTGCTGACCATTACATTTTAGGAGTGATATCAACCCTGATCAATGACTCAATTTGGGCCATGCTAGAAATATGAAAGGGCCTAGGCCATAGTACACCGAAGTGATGCTAAAATGGATGCCACGGTGATACATGCAGTTCTCTAGTGAAATCTTGGTAGCTATAGTGATCCCAAAAAGTAATTTAAAAAATAGCTTCCTCTTACAAGAACCACAGTTTTCTGTAATTGCAGTTTGAATGTCACCATATTAGAGGTTCAATGCTTCTCAAAGAAGGTCATAATGAACTGCAGAGTCAAAGTCGATTACTTAGTCAAATCCCCAGGGATCTCATTAGTAGCAGTTTATCTGCAATTTCCCTCCAGCATTCTTTAGAATTGTTACATTGTATTTCTTGCTTCTAATATGTATTTTTTGCATATAATCCTCAACTCCATCTAATGGCCAGAATGCAGTTTTTTCCCAATTCACTACTGCCCATAATATTTGAAGAACATTTGGCCAGAAATAAATTAACTTTAAAGGACACGTGCAGGGAGAGTAAAACATACTCTCCCTGCAGCTCAGAGCTGGCGTGGGAAGCTGCAACTGTCACATTTTGACTCTATACTGAGAGCTGAGTGATCATGAAACCTCTGATTACTCAGCTCACAGTTTCTTCTCCCTGCAGAGAACAGTGACTGACAGTCTTCCCAGGGATTCCCCCCTCCCCTCTCTGTTCCTCCAGTGTTAATTGGAGGGATAGACACAGGGGGCAGGCACAGTTGACTCGGCTATAGAAAGGCAGAGACAACTGTCAATTAGGCAGCCAGGGTGGATCCCAACAATATTGTTGGGATCTCTCCTGCTGCGGCACGGCTCTGTGCTGACAGCGAATAGTGGGCATTAACCTGCTATCTGCTGACTTTGGGTCACAGGAGTACATTAGTAAATGTACTCCTGTGACCCAAAAAAGAGGAAGAGCCAAAAAAAGGTTTGGATTTACTTCTCTTTTGGGAAGATTCAGTTTTTATTCTCCCAGCATCTGGTTAATTCACACAGAATGGATGTACATGCAGTTTTGCTGGAAAAATAGCTATGCAAATGTATTTGCTTAATAAACATTTGCTTAATAAATAGTGTTTTTAAAACTCAAGAACGCTGGGCTGTCAAAAAATACAATCATTTTGTCAAGAAGAAATTTCTTGAAGACAATTTATAAATTTGTAAATTAAAAACATAAAAACAACATACCTTTCTTTTTTTGAAGACTCCTTTGGTCCCGGGAACAGCATCACATACTCTGCAAAATGCTTCCCTGCAAGACAAAAATAAAAATATAAGAATAATTTCACAAGAATACTTTATGAGGGCAGTAATTTGTCACCTCTGCTAGTGATTATTGCTTGGCATCCATACTGAGTGAGTTATCAGTTAAACACATTTGAGGAAGAGAACTTCTGTTTTACCTCATCTGCATACAGTGTAGAAGAGACATCAATCATCTTATAGAGCCTCTTTTAACCCACAGAAAGAACCTGTCAACTGCACAATGCTCTCACATAGGGGGCTTGTATACCCCGCAGTGATAGAAATAAACTTACGTAAAAAAATGTTTTAAAGTTTCAAAATAATAGAATCTAATAAAAATACATTTTAAAAAAATCAAAAAAACTTTGAAGACCATGCTCCTACCGCTTGCACAAAAATACACACAACTAGGACACATGTACATATATAAAGAGGCATAATTCCAGGGCCATCATTTATGGTAAACTCTAATTTGATTCTGAAAATATATATGATGTAATGCACTAAAATAATCAAAAGAAAAGTATCTGATTGAAAAAAAAAAAAACTCTAAATTGATGAGCTATTGTTTGTTTAAAACAGTATCTATAGGCGATTTTGAGTATTGCAATCTGTCACCCTTATTTGGTATCTATTTACCGGATACAGTCTCATCTTTTTTTAAGTTAATAAATCATTGAGGATTCTATTGTATTTGCATTTGTTAAAATTCCTTTTAATGTATTTTTTTCACTTAAAATATAGGTTTGATAAACAACTGAGCAAGTAATGTGTGACATACAAATTTGCCAATACCCCATTTTTATTTAGAAAATATATAATAACTTGGAGGTTATCTCTTGAGGCAAAAAAAATTGCATTCTACATTTGTATAAAAAAACAAACCCTATTGGCCCAGCAGGTAAAGGGTTAACCAAATAACACGTGACCTTTTTTTCAGATGTATCTGCTGCCATTAATATTTTCTGGGGTGTTTGATCCTAGTGGGGTGATATTTATTATTGACATGTTATTTATTGTAAAAAAGTTTGTCTTCACTTTATGTGGCAGAATTGAGCAAATTGTAATCTTTTCCATGAAGGATAGAATTAGGGACCCCTTCTCTCCTACCAACAGTGAATATATAAATGATTTGAAAAATATATGAAATCTAGCCGAATTTTATGCATACACAATTATTCACTAGTTACAGAGTACATTTCACTAGTGGGGAACAGTGACAGCAAAAAAAAACCTGTTTGTGTCCAAATCCATCTCACCTCTCTACCCAAAACTAAAAATAAGTTTTGGTATTAGATAAACTCAGTTAAGCTAAAAAAAACACTCTGTAACACGTAAAATCACGGCACAAACACAGTAAAAATGCACTGCACTGCGTTTGGAGATCTGCTGCAGATCTGGTCCAGACATGGTGTGAACATAGCCTAAGAGCAAGCCAGAATTGTGGTTCAGGTGAGCATAACTGTATTAATTTGGCTCCCACGTAACACGTAACCCTTGCAGGTCGGGGGTAGCCCCACTGCAAGGGTTAAGGTTTGATTTTCCTGGATTTCTGCTTTAAAAATTGTACTTATTGCATCATAGTGGTGAACTGTCTCAATTAATAATGAGAATGTTTCCGTTAGCAGGTTGTTTGCGTCCAGGTGCGGTTGTTTTCAGGTAATCACATGCTGTCCGATTACTTGTCAACAGCCTGCAAACAGATGCAGGTGGTGGCAGCTATCATTGGATTATGCATCGCCTCTAATGAATCTCACGGAGGAATATGTGAGACTCATACAAGTAACCCCATTTGTAGGTGTGAAAGGGGCCAGCCAGATAAGCATAAGCATGATTAATTATAACACAGTTACTGCGTACACAAAGCTGCTGAGGTTGATCAAATACAGGTAAGGTACTGTCTCAAATAAATGCAGATCTCAAAATAAATTATTTTTAGTTTTCTAAATCAGTGTTTCTCCAGCTTAGTGAGACCAGGCGCTGGTAAATCCTTTCAAAACGTTCCATGTCCCAATAGTAAAAAAAAAGTTATACTGATACAATAAAAGTATTGGAATGCAAAATATGTATTTAAAATGTATTACAGCCAAACTCCAAGAAAAATAGTAATTTGAACTCTGCACTGTGTCACTGCAAAGTATAACCTTGCAGTACATTAACTTAAAGCATGCCATGTCCTGCACATTATGCCTAGCTTCTGGGAGAGCTATGACTCATATAGTGCAGTGCTATGTAATGCTTCTTCCTCTCACACTCCAGTTTTGCTGTATGGGGACTACAAGAGGCTGACACTAGGCCAAATTTTGTTACTTAAACTTCTAGCATTTAAAAAAATACATTGCCTCTGTCAACACAGGAGCGGGAGAGCAGTGGACACCGGTGGGGACACAGATCGGTGTCCAGCGGGGAAGAGAGAAGCCTAGGGATGCACTGAATTTTCTGCCTCATTTACGGCCGTTATGGTACTTTCACTAATGCCAATGGTCAAAATTTCGGTGCATCCCTAGTTTGTGGGCACCTGACCACCTACCTATGTTGCCAAAAGCATATCCAAATTATTGAGTTCAGGTGTTTCTAGTAAAGCATAGTGTTAATACTATGCTATACAAGCCATTTTAAAAACTTGTGTGCTTCCAACCTTGTAACAGTTTGGCGAAGGCTCTTTTTTGTTCCACTTTGTTCCCTGACAGAAAGCCAGGTCAATAATAACATACTTTGAAAAGTTTGGTGTAGACCAGGGTGGACAAAACTCCGGCCCTCCAGCTGTGTTTTAACTACAAATACCAACATGTCTCTGGGAGTCATGCCTGTAACTGTAAGTCTTGCAATGCCTCATAGCTGGAGGGCTGCAATTGCCTACTCCTGGTGTAGAGGAACTGAAATGGCCTGCACAAAGCCCTGATCTTAACCCAACGAAAAGCCTATGGGACAAATTCTCACTCACAGAACACTGAATTATGAGCCAGCTCTTCTCTGTTCCCGTTAGTACCTTAACTCACATGTTCTTTTGGTTAAATGGACAAAAAATGCCACAGACACCCTATTGTGGAAAACCTTCCCAGAAGAGTGGACTCTTTATTAAAGCCAATGGTTTCAGAATGGGATGCCTAACACGCTGACATATGTGTAGTCAGGTGTCTACAAACATTTGGCACTAGGTATAAATCTAAGCATTTTACCTGCGGTATAACTATACATTTCTGTATAAATGTGAGTGCTCATGCTATGCAATACAAAAAGAAAAAGACAATAATAGAGAGTTATTGATTTATTTGTGAAATCAGCAAAGCAACAATTCTAGCAATCACAGGTAAGATCATTGTACATTGTACTGTACATTTACACCCAAAGTACCCAGTACTCTGATGATAAACTCATGTTGACTGTGATAACATAATCATTTAAACTTTGTACATTATTGTTAGCACGAGGATGAAGCCTCCACAAGAACGTCAACAATGATGGAGGATTCTACAAACTATTTGATGTGGTCATTAGGTTTGGGTCTGCTCTAGCCTTAAGGCAGGTGAATTGGATGAAACTAGTTCAACCAATGTTGATAGATGTCAGATATTAGAACAGGCCCTTGTTTCTCTTGTCCAGATCACTGTAGGACAGTGCAGTCTAAATATGTTCATCCAACAACAGTCCTGTAAAAAAAAAAACAAATACAAAAATAAATAACAAATGTGATTAGAAAATTGCATATGTATCCATCCAACCTATCTGCAATCATATGGGAATACTTTGGAAACTACACTATGTAGTTTTGCCACTATGTGTCTGACTACACAACGTGATACAACGTTTATATGTAAACTTGTTGGTTCATTGTGATATTCATGCCATGTTGAGGTATTCTGTGCATTTTGAAAACACGTGGTTTATGTCATACCATGTCTTTTAGCAAACATAAGCAAGAGGGATTTGAAGGAACAAAGTGACTGGCTGAAATCACTGACAGGCAGTAAAGCCTGCAGTTGAATATATGGCCACAGAGACTCTAAGTACAGTGTCATGTATTATGACACCATGGAGAGTGGATTAAACCCCCTGGGAGAATAGATGTGAGTTTTTCTAATCTAGTATTGTGATGTGTCCCCTGCACTACGTACAGCATTTGGACCTTGATTAGTGGTTGTGGTGCTTGTAGTGATTGCACAGATGGTGCCATGTATTCCAAAATCATAGAAGATGGAGATCACCAGCACTGACAAAAGACTATCACTATGTCTCCCTGCATGGCCCCGAAATGTTGGTTACATATGTCTTCAATAAAAAAACAAAATAATCTAACGCTTTTGACTGAGTGCTGGTGATCTCCATCTTCTATAAATTTTTCTAATCTCTCTCAAACAGGAAAGCACTGAAAAGAAGAGTCTACTCTGTATCTTTCTCTGTTTTGATACTCTGTATCTGGATCACACAGTAGTCCCCAGTGATTAGAAATGTAACATAAAACTTTTCCATGACTTAATTCGCTAAAAAAAGCAGAGAGATTTCACAGACTTTATTCAGAGAAAATGACACAGAAAACATGGCCCTAAAAAGCATTATTCAGGTGTTTAATAAACTTTGTGACCCCAAAAAGCAGCAAACTGTAGAAAGACATGTTTTTTTCTAGAGAGCAAGAAAGTGTGGACAGCTCTGTCACAGAACTGAAAATGCTAGCAGCAAGCTGTGAGTTTAGAGATATCAGAGACTTCCTCATCAGAGACAGGATAGTGTATGGAATGCAAGATTCTCACCTCAGAGACAGAGAGACTTCTAAGACAGGAAGATCTGGGTCTAGAGAAATGTATTCACCTATTGTTAGGATCGTGGTGTGAGCCCGAAGTGACGAGGAGGACCTCCCTTGCAACCCCGTCTGATGACCACTGGGGTTGAGAACAGTAGGTTCAGGCAGGGGATGCACGAGTGCCGGATGCGGATCTTGAGGCCACAAGGTCTACTTGATGACCTAGCAGAATGGCCGTCGTGCTAGAAGGATACAGCAAAAGGGAGAGT